GGGCGGCGAGGCCGTGAGTGCTGGGGCGGCGGGGCCGCGAGACCAGGGGCGGCGGGGCCGTGAGCGTTAGGGCGGCGGGGCCTCGAGATCAGGGGCGGCGGGGCCGTGAGCGCTGGGGCAGCGGGGCCGTGAGATCAGAGGCGGCGGGGCCGCGTAGCAGGGGCGGCGGGGCCGGGAGCGCTGGGGCGGCGGGGCCGCGAGATCAGGGGCGGCGGGGCCGTGAGCGCTGGGCGAGCAGACAGTCTCGTCAGTAGTTGGCCCAACTTCTTCTGACTGTTGGCGTTTCCCTGCCTCTGAGACTCCCTCCCCTGCTCTGCTCCGTGGCGCCTCAGCTCCTCTGGGCATTCGCTCTTGCGGAGGCCCGGCCTGTTGCAAGCAAAGCAGCGCCCCTTAAACGGTGCGGCAGCCGCATTCGTTGCAACGGCGTGTACAGTGGCGTGCTCGGTCGGTCCTCGAGGACGATGTCCGTAGTAGGACCCCGGTCTCGGTCGGCGTAGGATGTCGATTTTCTCGGCGAGCGCCAGAATCTCGTTGAAGTTAGAGAGTCCGCGCAGCATTATTTCGTGCGAGATATCCGGCTTCAGCCCTCTGACGTAACGATCCACTCGCTCCGCTTCGTGCATGTAGCCGACCTGCTCGCAAATTGCGAGAAAACCGCTTGTGTAGTCTTGAACCGACCCGAGCTGGCGCCAAGTGCGCAATCTCTGACGCGCCGAAATCGAAACCGCGATCGGCTCGAAGCGCGCCCGAAGCCCTGCGCACCACGCATCCCACGTGCTGTATTGGGCGGTCTCGCAGAACGAACTCCAGGTGACAGCTGGACCCGTGGGCCCTTCCTCGTGCGACGGTGGCTCGTAGGCGCGTGGCGACGTCACGATGACTCGCCACTAGTCCATGGCGGGGCCCCTTAGCAGCGAAACTGCATACCGAATCTTTGCGGCATCCGACTCGACGTAGTTTGCGTTGAAGAAGACGTTCATCGTGAAGACCCACGATTGAACCGTCGGACCTCCGCGTTGGCTTGGGTCGAAGTTGGGCGGGCGTTGCGGCTTGAGCGGCATTGGTGCCATGATGGCCTGTTCGCCACTTGTCGTCGCAAATTCCACGTGTCGACGGGCTTCCCGGGGCTCCCGCGGGCTTGGTGCGATTCTGCCTCCTCCCATGCCAGGCATCGGCTGGGCGACGCCGTCACTAGCTGCGCCTGAGCGTTGTCCCATGCTGTCGTGTTGTGTTGGTGTGCCGGACGAGATAATGATCGGCTCGTCCGATTGTGCAGATGCATTTGTTGGTGCATGTGATGTCGCCGGAATGTTCACCGTGGACTGTTGACGGGCGGAGTCATGTTCCGCCGTGAGCGTTGCGATTTCGAGTGCCGATTCTTCCAGCTGACGCACGAGACGATCAAGTTGCTCCTGCGTCAATGTGGGGAGCGTGAAACCAGCCATGGCGGGGGTGTCGGGCAAGCTCAGCGAGAGCCTCGGTCGTCGCCGTGCGTGCTTACGAGAGAGCACTACGAGCGGCGGTGCTGGGTCGCTGAGAGACGTCTACCCCCCCCAAAAAATTGAGATAGTGGGGAAGCGAAGGTGTGGATGCGGTCCGAAATGAGATCGTAGGCTCTGAATACCAAGTGTTACGAGTGCAATTGAGTGAGCGAACGAGAATTGCACTATCGAAGCAAGAATACAAATGAGCGAAGGCATGAGCGAAGAATATATAGCGAAACTACAGTGGTAACGGTAATGGACTGTGGTTGTCGCGCGACGAGCCTGGGACTGAGGTTGGGAAAATGTCGAAGCGTAGGCCCGGAGCGCGGGTTACCGCCGAGCCGTGAGGTCGGGGTGCGATGTGCGAAAATGGCGGGATGATTGTCGATGCGATGATCGCGAGTGGTAACGGTGCTGACTGAGGTGCTACAGTGATGTACGCGTTGAGCAGGGATGCGAAGGAAAAGGGATTTTCCTTACAATTCATAACACCCAAAACATAAAAGTTCCACAATTGAGGTCCGGGCTGGAATTCGTCGGGACATTTGTTCCGAACGTCCGAACCGACGCCTGTCCGTACGGTTTACGTGCTGGTCCGGACATTTGACGGTTCGGAAAAAAGTTACACGCCCTTAGACTGACGCTTTCGGCAAAGTCATTCTCGTCAACGAATTTCCATTCCTTGGGGATTCCATAGCACAAGCCCCTTCCGCTGACGAATTCACTATGCGTGCGTGTCGTACGCGACATTCATGCGAACTTGCCACCTTGTTCTGGTCGTCTTCGCCACTGTCGTGGAGTTCGCATCCCCTGCGACACCCGCCTCGTCTCCTTTTCCGGTTCTGAACGTTAACCTCTCCCAACCAACCCTTCTCTTCGTTCCGTTTTGGGAAACTATATTCCAGGTCCATAATTTCATACTTATCTCAAGTTTAGTCCCAGGTTCACTAAAAAAGTATCATTTTCTAGAATTTTGCACATGCGAGGCCCAAAGTATGTTCAAAACTGGTCCTGCAAGGCGAGGTTCTTGAAACGTGTCCAATTTCGCTTGGAATTTTTTCGACGGGGCAAGAAATTATAAAACCCCTCGGGAACTAGGGCCCATTTGCGGGAGAGATCAACCCTAAACACCAAGCGGGTCCCCGTGTTTAGGGTTGATCCCTCCCGAACGTGTGTCCTGGTTCCCGTAGGGGTTTTATGTTTTTTGCCCCCGTCAGAAATTGCAAATACGAAATAGAACACGTGTCGAAACGTTTGCTCCGCAGGACCAGTTTCGAACATAATCTGGGCCTCGCATGAGCAAACTTCTAGAAATCTGGACTTTTTGAGTCGAATTAGGACTAAATTTGAAAGATTTTTGAAACTATGGAGCTGGGATATACTTTCCCTTCCGTTTTACCTCCGAAGTGCTGCACAGCTGCTTCTTGGCCACACATACCTCCAATAATTTCGACAGCAATCCACTCCATCCCACTCGCAGGAGCCAGAGGCAAGAGGTATATCTTGGATGTAGGAGTCACGCATGCCTGCAGACCGTTTCCACGCAATGCGACGATAAGTAGCTTTATCGCGACCCTATTGCCTTGTACATCCTTTCCTACAGAACTTATCATCTATCGTTGGAAAGATTTGTTCGGTTTGACGACGTAAGGAAATTGCAACGTACTGCTTTAGTTCTCCTCTTTCAATCTTACTGCGGCCTGTACTGAGTAGTGCTACGTGTAGTTGTTGAGTCCACGGAGGGTTTGAAGCGCAGCGCTGCCCCTCTTGAGCACCCGCTTTTTGACCCAGTGAGTAGCGGGGCCTAATACCGTGGGTGGTTGTCGTAGTAGCAAATCCACCGTTCCACAACTGTAACGGCTTAAACCACTCCATGCCGTCAATGCGAACCAACGCCGCGTTCCACGGCGTCGCGTCATGTAGCGGCGAGAGGCGGCGCGGCGTCGCGTCACGGTCAGCAGCCGTCCCCCTCGTCGTGCCTCCTCGGCGACGCGCCCGCGCCGCCGTCCTCCTCGCTCGTGACGCGCGGCGAATGTCAGCCGTGCTGCTACTCGCTGCGCTTCTCGCGCTTCAACCCAGAGCTGCGGATTCGGCGTGGATTCACGAAGCCGATGGTGAGTGATGCTGTGGATTGACCGCGTGATAGTGAGTTGAGATGATGATGGCGGCTCGGGAGGAACGGTTTGGTGACTTTTAGTCGACTCAAAAAGGAGGAACGGTTTGGTGACTTTGAGTCGACTCAAAAGGGAGGAACGGTTTGGTGACTTTGAGTCGACTCAAAAGGGAAGAACGGTTTGGTGACTTTGAGTCGACTCAAAAGGGAGGAACGGTTTGGTGACTTTGAGTCGACTCAAAAGGGAGGAACGGTTTGGTGACTTTGAGTCGACTCAAAAGGGAGGAACGGTTTGGTGACTTTGAGTCGACTCAAAAGGGAGGAACGGTTTGGTGACTTTGAGTCGACTCAAAAGGGAGGAACGGTTTGGTGACTTTGAGTCGACTCAAAAGGGAAGAACGGTTTGGTGACTTTGAGTCGACTCAAAAGTCATTCGGCGTGGATTCATGAAGCCAATGGTGAGGGACGCGCCTTGACCGCGGGAGGAGGGTGTTTAGATGATGGCGGCTTCGGCGGAAGGGTTTTTGGGAGGAAGTGTGGGAAGGGGAGGGGAAGGGGAGCGGGGGGAAGGAAGACAGGGAGGGGTTTCGGTGGTGGAAAGCAGGCGGATTGAGAGACGCGGAATTTCAGCTTCGAGGCGCCTCAGAAGGAACAGTTCATTAGGAGGGACCGCTTGAGAGGTCGGCATCCCCCGGGCCGTTTATCGGGAGGTTTCCTCCTTTCAACCCGGAGGGCCAAGAAGGCCCAAATTGCCTTAACCTTCCTAACCTTGGTTGAGTTTGGCCCTCGCACCCAAAATCTTGGCCAATTGTGTTGCTCGCTCCAACCAAGCTTCCTAAGGTTGAAGTTCTTGGCCCGCGGGTTTTAACCCGCTGCGATCAACAGCTCACAACAGAGCGCGCAGAAAGGGTAGATATTAAGTGGACTCGCAGAAAGGGTAGATATTAAGTGGACTCGGAAGTCTTTATGGAGCTTCGCAGTGAGTGTATTAGTAGCGCTGCTTCATGCACGACTGTGTACTACCCCCCCCTTTCAACTCTGTTCATAACTCCTCGCCCTCCCGCTTCCATTTTGAAACATGCGATTCCTCGCCCGTCAAGTGGCTGGTGGAGATAATGGGTGCGTGGGGCAAGCAGCTCGCAGGGTGACTTGAGCAGTACTGTGCCTGTGCCGATTCATGCATTGAGTGTACACCCCCCTTCATCTTGATATGCTTCTTTGTTCCGTTCTTTCCGTCCTCAGCCAAGTGGCTGGCAGAGATTATGGGCGCGTGGGGCAAGCAGTTCGCGGGGTGGCTATTGAGCAGTACTAGTGGCGGTGCCGCTTCATGTAGTGTGCAGTGCACCCCCCTTCATCTTGAGGCATTCTACTCGTTTTCCCTGCTCTTTTCACACTCACACCAGCCAAGTGGCTGGCAGAGATAATGGGCGCGTGGGGCAAGCAGTTTGCGGGGTGGCAGAAGTACGGGTTGTGTGCGACCGCGTGGGGTCTGACCTGCACGGACGTGTCGGGGCGAGTTTCTTCCATGTGAGTGACGTGGATTCAGGTGGGTGTATGAGAGTGACGTGGATTCATGTTAGTGTGACGTAGATTCATGTGAAAGTGTCGTGCATCACTGTGAGTGCAACGTGAATGTGAGTACGGCATGTGTGTGAGTGCCGTCAAATGTGCGCATGTGAGTGCAGAACCTGATGCCACTTCCTTGCTACCCCTCCATGACGTCACCACCCCATCATCATATCCCACCATCCCCCCATCATGCAACCATGCCACCATGCCACCGTGCAGGTCTCTCCCATCGCAGCAGCTGAGTGGAGGTATCCCATCCGCCATAAGCCTCTTGACCTATCTCACACGCCTGTGAGCCACTTGACCTACCTCGCACGCCTGTGAGCCTTTCGAGACAGACGTCTTTGAAACCCTTAGTCACGCATGCCATACCATGACTACTGAATCCTCCGTTTGCCATGTATTGTAAGCCTCTCACATGCCATGCCTCACATCATGCCCGCTGATTAGCCTCTCTCTCTATCTCTCCCACTCCCTCCCACGCACTTCACTTCCACCGCTGTTTTTCCCTTCCCGTCCCTCTTTATGGTCAGGGGCTTTATGGTCAGGGGCTTTATGGTCAGGGGCTTTATGGTCAGGGGCTTTTCTTCCGTCTACTAAAACAAAAATCTCGTCTTTCTCTGTGCCGTCAGGGACTTGAGCTCCAACCAGCTCTCCGGCCCCCTTCCTGACTTCCTTGGGGCGCTGCTCAACCTTCAATACCTGTACGCCATGCGCCATGCCCCATGCACCATGCGCCATGCCCCATGCGCCATGCCCCATGCGCCATGCCCCATGCACCATGCACCATGCGCCATGCCCCATGCGCCATGGACCATGCGCCATAGACCATGCACCACGCGCCATGCGCCATGGACCATGCACCATGCGCCATGCGCCATGGACCATGCACCATGCACCATGCGCCATGGACCATGCACCATGGACCATGCGCCATGGACCATGCGCCATGCACCATGCGCCATGCTCCATGCGCCATACACCATGCGCCATGCGCCATGCACCATGCGCCATGCCCCATGCGCCATGCGCCATGCACCATGCGCCATGCCCCATGCACCATGCGCCATGCACCATGCGCCATGCGCCATGCGCCATGCGCCATGCGCCATGCGCCATGCACCATGCACCATGGACCATGCGCCATGCACCATGCGCCATGGACCATGCGCCATGCACCATGCGCCATGCACAATGTGCCATGCACCATGCGCCATGGACCACGTACCATCCACCATGCCCCATGGACCATGCACCATGCGCCATGCGCCATGCACCATGCACCATGCACCATGCGCCATGCCCCATGCGCCATGCACCATGCCCCATGCGCCATGCCCCATGCGCCATGCACCATCCACCATGCGCCATGGACCATGCACCATGCGCCATGCCCCATGCGCCATGGACCATGCACCATGCACCATGCGCCATGCCCCATGCGCCATGCACCATGCGCCATGCCCCATGCGCCATGCACCATGCGCCATGCGCCATGCACCATGCGCCATGCCCCATGCGCCTTGCGCCAAGCACCATGCGCCATGCCCCATGCACCATGCGCCATGCACCATGCCCCATGCCCCATGCGCCATGCGCCATGCGCCATGCCCCATGCGCCATAGACCATGCACCACGCGCCATGCGCCATGGACCATGCACCATGCGCCATGCGCCATGGACCATGCACCATGCACCATGCGCCATGGACCATGCACCATGGACCATGCGCCATGGACCATGCGCCATGCACCATGCGCCATGCTCCATGCGCCATACACCATGCGCCATGCGCCATGCACCATGCGCCATGCCCCATGCGCCATGCGCCATGCACCATGCGCCATGCCCCATGCACCATGCGCCATGCACCATGCGCCATGCGCCATGCGCCATGCGCCATGCGCCATGCCCCATGCACCATGCACCATGGACCATGCGCCATGCACCATGCGCCATGGACCATGCGCCATGCACCATGCGCCATGCACAATGTGCCATGCACCATGCGCCATGGACCACGTACCATCCACCATGCCCCATGGACCATGCACCATGCGCCATGCACCATGCACCATGCACCATGCGCCATGCCCCATGCGCCATGCACCATGCGCCATGCCCCATGCGCCATGCCCCATGCGCCATGCACCATCCACCATGCGCCATGGACCATGCACCATGCGCCATGCCCCATGCGCCATGGACCATGCACCATGCACCATGCGCCATGCCCCATGCGCCATGCACCATGCGCCATGCCCCATGCGCCATGCACCATGCGCCATGCGCCATGCACCATGCGCCATGCCCCATGCGCCTTGCGCCAAGCACCATGCGCCATGCCCCATGCACCATGCGCCATGCACCATGCCCCATGCCCCATGCGCCATGCGCCATGCACCATGCACCATGCACCACGCATACATTTCCCATGCACTATGCAGCATGCACCATGCACCATGCAGGATGCATCATTATCTACCCTCTCTCTATACCATATATCATTAACAATTGCACACCGAGAGCATGGCGAGATAGAAACGCCGCATGCGACGCACATAGCATACAGCTGCTGGCACTCAAGGTACCGGTATTTGAGTGCTGCAATGCAATGCAATGCTTGACCTCGAAGACGTTTCAAAAAAATGCCTGAGTAACTGTCTGTGGGGCTGCAGAGACTTAAGCAGCAACTCGTTTGACGGAACCATTCCCAGCAGCTTCAGCAACCTTGTGAACCTGCGATCGCTGTAAGTCCAAAGGGACATCACTCGAATGCTAAATATGACTCCTGACTCGACTCAAAAGTCACCTCGATACAATGACGCCAGCAGCTTCGGCAACCTTGTGAACCTGCGATCGAACCTGCGAACCTGTGAGTCTGACTGAACGCCACTTGAATGCCAAATGTGACTCTTGAGTAGACTCAAAAACCTCCTCGTTACAATGGCACCAGCAGCTTCAGCAGCCTCATGAACCTCCGATTCTCCAATTGCTGATGGGACATCAGTTAAATTCCGAAGACCTACTTTGCAGCACGGACTTTCAAGCACTGTGTTTCGGTAAAGGGAAGGTGCCTGCATGTGAGCATCATGCTACCTTCAACAAACCTCAGGGTGCGTGTGACACATCATGCTTTTTACTGTCACTCGATTTCACCTCCCCCTTCCCTCCGCTCCCTCCTACCTCTCATCCTTCCAATCCCTCCTCTTCCATCCTCTCTCTGTCAACTACACTCCTCCCTCATCCTCCTCGCATTTTCTCCGTCTCAACCCCTCTCTCTCACCCTCAACCTATCATCAGCTCTCTGCACCACAATCAATTATTGGGCCCCATTCCCCCTTTCATCGACCAAGCCAAGCTCCTCTCCCTCGTGTGAGAAACTGCTGGTGCCCACCTTAATAACTGAGGCCGTAGACACGGCAAAGTGTCCAGTCTCTCTCATTCTATTCTTTACATGCTCGCTTCTTTCCTTGCCCTGCTCCCCGCTGGTCGCTTCTTTCCTTGCCCTGCCCCCCGCTGGTCGCTTCTTTCCTTGCCCTGCCCCCCGCTGGTCGCTTCTTTCCTTGCCCTGCTCCCCGCTGTCCACCTCTCAGTTTCACCAGTTAGAATCCGCTAACTCTCCCCTCTGACCCTTCCCCCGCACGAGATGAGAGGATGTTTGAGCTGACAGAAATATCGTCCCACCGTCCAGCTTCACCGGGTGGCATCAGCGAGGCGAGGTCTCCCCTTCTCCCACCCGTCCGCCTCACCGCCCCCATGCCTGCAATGCGGGATTCGGGACTCCGAGTAGCAACTGCTTCAGGGGAATCGTCTCAGAATCTCATGCCCACTCCTCCCACACATGCCCGCACCTCCCACACATGCCTGCACCCCCCACACATGCCTGCACCCCCCACATGCCCGCACCCCCCACATGCCCGCACCCCCCACATGCCCGCACCCCCCACATGCCCGCACCCCCCACATGCCTGCACCCCCCACACATGCCCGCACCCCCCACATGCCCGCACCCCCCACATGCCCGCACCCCCCACATGCCCGCACCCCCCACATGCCCGCACCCCCCACACATGCCTGCACCCCCCACACATGCCTGCACCCCCCACATGCCCGCACCCCCCACATGCCCGCACCCCCCACATGCCCGCACCCCCCACATGCCCGCACCCCCCACATGCCCGCACCCCCCACATGCCCGCACCCCCCACATGCCCGCACCCCCCACATGCCCGCACCCCCCACATGCCCGCACCCCCCACATGCCCGCACCCCCCACATGCCCGCACCCCCCACATGCCCGCACCCCCCACATGCCCGCACCCCCCACATGCCCGCACCCCCCACATGCCCGTGCCTCCCCCCGTGCCTGCACCTCCCCCCATGCCCGCACACCCCCCCCCCCCCATGTCCGCACCTCCCTCATGCCTGCACCTCGTGAGCAGGTATATGAGCAGCAACTGCTTCACATGGTCATTCTTTAGATATCTCATATTCACACCTTTCCCCATGCCCTCACTGCATGAGCAGGGACCTAAGCAGCAACAACTTCACAGGGCCCATTCCGCCTCAGATCGCCACTCTCACCAACCTCACCACCTTGTGCGCCCCCCCCTTGCTCCTCTCTCCTTCCATAAACCTTGAAACCTTCAAACTTGATTTCAAGTGCCAGCTGTAGCTGGGGTTGTGGGGACGTGCTTATTGGTTCTCGCCTGCTTCTGCCATCTCCGTATCATTCCCCTGTGCCTCTAGTGTTTTTTCTTTTACTTTCCTCAACTCGTTCCCTTCATTTCTGATCTCTCTTCCCTCTTTATATTCTTCCCCCGCCCCCGTTGTCCTTCCTTCCTCTACGAGCCGTGCGCAGAAGCTTGGGTGGGAACGAGGGACTGGTTGGCAGCATTCCAGAGGCAATAGGCAACCTCACGTCCCTGGAGTCTCTGTGAGTGACCAGGTGGCTTGTTCTGAGTCCACACACAATGTCAATTACTGAGTTTACACACTAGGCAACCCCACCTCCTCACGTCCCTAGAGCCTCTGTGAGTGACCAGGTGGCTCATTTGAGTCCACGCAACAAGTCTTTTCTCCGCACAGCTGGATTTTTTTGTTGACGTAAGAGTTAGTTCGGAGGCAGTGGGCAGCCATACTGCCCAGCTGTCTCTGTGAGTAGGTGGAAGGGTCTCAACCCTTCCCATTCTCCTTCCAGTTCTCTTGTTTCTGCATTATCACCGCTTTCCGCCTTTTTCGTTATCATGTTAGCCTCACAACAGAGAGCAGCATCGGTTGCAGCATCATGTTAGCCTCACAACAGAGAGCAGCATCGGTTGCAGCATCATGTTAGCCTCACAACAGAGAGCAGCATCGGTTGCAGCATCATGTTAGCCTCACAACAGAGAGCAGCATCGGTTGCAGCATCATGTTAGCCTCACAACCCACTTGTTAAAGCAAGAGTGTTTTGCTCTCCACTCCCTGTCACCAGAAAGCTAGGGTAAATTCAGCCTAATGGCTCGCTACCGCTCACCCTGAGGGTTTTTTTGAGGATGCTCGGAACCACCTTGCTCTTTTCCCTTGGATACATATTTGCCTTCCATGCTCTTTCACCCTCCATGCTCTTTCACCCTCCACGCCCTGCCACCACCAGCAAGCTGGGGTCAACTCAGCTCAATGGCACCCTGCCTCTCAGCTTGAGCCGTCTTGCTCAACTCACCATGCTGTAAGCTGTGCGGTGCGGGCAGGCATGCAGGGTGGTGTGAGGCATGCAGGGTGGTGTGAGGCATGCAGGGTGGTGTGAGGCATGCAGGGTGGTGTGAGGCATGCAGGCTGGTGTGAGGCATGCAGGGTGGTGTGAGGCATGCAGGGTGGTGTGAGGCATGCAGGGTGGTGTGAGGCATGCAGGGTGGTGTGAGGCATGCAGGGTGGTGTGAGTCATGCAATCAACAATGGTGAGACGCATCCCATCTCGCCTGGTAGAACGGTCCATCCTGTGTTGTGACTGTACCATGATCAGCTAATGACCCGTTCCACTCTCTTCCAGCTTATCACTTCGTTCCTCGCCCTCCCCTCCTTCGTTGCTCTTCATTTTTCAAGCAGCAATTGTTCTTTCCCACCCACCATCCTCCCTCCCTCCCAATCTCCATTCCAGTGACATCAGCAACACGGCAATCAGCAGCTCAGTACCTGCTTTTCTTGGAAACCTCTCTGATTTCCTCACCTTGTCAGTTGCTTACCTTCCCATTTCCACACGCTGACTCAAAACGTCTCTTTCTTCCTCCTCATGTTGTCAGTTGCTTTCTTACTCTCTTCCTCGCATTGTCAGTCGCTTCATTTCTTACTTCCTCACATTATTAAAGGCTCACATTCTCACTTCCTCGCATGCCAGCCGCTGCATCATTTCTCCATCTATACTATTCCCCTCCATACTCATTTCCACGATTTTTGAGACCTCTCAAAACTCGCTGCATCACTTCTCCATCTATACTATTTCCCCCCATTATTCATTTCCCGTGTCCTCTTGCTCGTCCCACCTGCCCATCGTCTCTCTTGCAGCATGAAGAGCAGCAGCATGGCATGCAACAGCACCACCGACAGCAGCAGCAGTGTGTGCGCGCTGGTCAGCCCCTCAACAGTCTCCCGCAACTCAGCCTTGTGCCGGGAGTGCCCCGACCTCTGCTCCACGTGCCTCCCAGGTGAGGCTCCACGCTGCCCTCCCAGGTGAGCCTTCCATCAACTCCCATCCGCCACCCTGCCTCCCATCCGCCACCCTGCCTCCCATCCGCCACCCTGCCTCCCCTCCGAGGTGCCGCATTCGTGCAATCTCGCCACCATGCCTCCCTTTTTCCCTTCTACTCCCTCCTGCTCCTCTCCCTCACCTTTCCCCATCTTCACTCCACTGCTCTCCTCTCCTTGTCTCTCGTCCCCTTGTCCCCCCATGTCCTCCGGCGCCCTCCCCTCCTGCTGCTCCGCTCACTTTCACAACCCCCAGGCGATTCGAGATCCTCCCCTCCAGCCCCTCCAGCCCCTCGAGCGCTCAGGGGGCGCCAGGTCCTCCTCTCCCTCGACGCGTCTCATCATTGCTGTGGCAGTGCCACTGCTGCATCTGCTGCTGCTGCTGCTGCTGCTGCTGCTGCTGCTGCTGCTGCTGCTGCTGCGAGAGTTGCTGCTTCTGATCCTGCTGTGCTTCTTTCCCCATCGTCACTCTACAGCTCTCCTCCCTTTGTCCCCTTGTCCTCCCCACGTCCTCCTGTGTCCGCCCCTGCAGCCCCTTCGGGCCCGGCACAGACCTCAGGGGATTCCAGCTACCCCTCTCCCTCTACGGATCTCATCACTGGGGTGGCTGTGGCAGTGCTGCCTCTGCTTCTGCAGAGGCTACTGCTGCTGGGAGGGCTGCTGTTGATGCTGTTTTTGCTGCCCTGGCCCTGGTTCTTTCCCCATCTTCACTCCACTTCTCTCCTCCCCTTTGCCATCTCATCTTCTTCTGTACCGTCCCCCTGCAGCCGCTCCCGCGCCCACCGACCCCTCACAACCCTCAGGCTCCTCCTCCTCTTCTTCCACCGGGCTCATAGTTGGGGTGGCTGTGGCAGTGGCCGTGCTGCTGCTCCTGCTGCTGTGGGCGGTGCTGTGGTGGTGGAGAAGACGGGAGCAGGGGGAGAAGCAAGGTGGGTGTTTGTGCTGGTAGGTAAGCACAACGCTCGCATTTTCACGCATTTGCATGTGTGTGCTGCTGCTGCTGCTGCTGCCGCTGCCGCTGCCGCTGCCGCTGCTGGTGTGGGCTGTGATGTGGAGGTGGAAACGACGGGATCAGGTAGAGAAGCAAGGTGGGTGCGTGTGTGTGGGAAGGCACTATGTGTGTGCATATGCGCATGTGTGCATGTGTGCATGCGTGTGTGTGTGTGTGCATGTGTGCACGTGCTGCTGCTGCTGCCGCTGCTGCTGCTACTGTGGGCGGTGCTGTGGAGGTGGAAAAGGCGGGAAATGCATGTGTGTGTGCGTGTGTGCGTGCATGCGTGCATGTGTGGTTGCGTGCATGCATGCGTGCGTGCGTGTGTGCGTGCATGCGTGCATGTGTGGCTGCGTGCATGCGTGCGTGCGTGTGTGCGTGCATGCGTCTGTGTGCGATCGTCATGACGGAGTGAAAACAACATGCTGAGTAAGCAAGAAAAAATTTTCCTCTCTACATGAATGCTCCTCCTCCCTTTCTAATGTCTGTTGTGTGTAAGGGCCGTAAGAAAGTTACCAGCCTCGAGTCTCACCTCCCCATTTCCCATCCCATGTACCCACCCGCCCCTCACAGGCCCGTCACCCTCACAGTGGCTGCTGGAGAGGGAGAGGAGCCCATTGACTGCCAGCAGTATTCCACAGGGGACATGCGCCGAGCCACAGCGGACTGGTCATCGCGCGTAATCGCATCCCACCTCCCATGTCCCTGTTTCCACCCGTCTGTACCCACCCCCACCCCTTGCAGGCCATCACCCTTCACGGTTGCTGTTGGGGAAGGCGAAGAGCCAATCGATTGCAGCAGTATTGGCGGACTGGCCCTCGCGGAACCGCATCCCACCGCCCGGTATCCCTGACTTCCACTCCCCTGTACCCGCCCCCACCCCTTGCAGGCCCATCACCCTTCACGGTCGCTGTTGGGGAGGGAGAGGAGCCCATCAACTGCCAGCAGTACTCGATAGAGGACATGCGGCGGGCCACAGCGGACTGGTCGTCGCGGAACCGCATCGGCACGGGGGGCTTTGGAGACGTGTTCAGAGGGGCATCGCCGTACGACCCCACTGTCTTCTGGGCGGTGAAGCGAGCTCGTGTACTTACAAACGACTTCCTTAAAGAGGTGAGATCTGATATGCGTGCATGCGTATGGTAAAAGGGTGGGGGGATTGCCATCCCAACCCCAGCGTGTTCGGGGGCTTTGGAAACGGGGGCCTTGGGAAACGGGGGACTTGGGAAACGGGGGTGTTGGGAAACGGGGGCCTTGGGAAACGGGGGCCTTGGGGATGTTTTCGAAGGGGCGTCGCCGTACGACCCAACCGTGTTCTGGGCAGTGAAGCGGGCGAGAGTGCTGACAAACGACTTGTTCCTGAAAGAGGTTGGCGACCCAAGTGTGTTCTCGGAAGTGAAGCAAAGAGGGCGCTGCACACCAACCTCTTCCGAGAGGGCGCTGCACACCAACCTCTTCCGAGAGGGCGCTGCACACCAACCTCTTCCGAGAGGACACAGTCGGGGGGCCCCTTCTCCCTTCCCCCCCCTGGCAGATGGAGCACATGGCGCGCACGCACCACCCGTGCGTCCCATTCTCTTCTCTGTCCCGGTCTTGCCAATCACCCTCCCTCTCTCTCCCCGTCCCGCCTCCCCTCCCCCCTCCCCCCTTCCCCCTCTTCACAGATTGAGCACATGGCGAGCAAGAATCATCCGTGCCTGGTGCGGCTGCTGGGGTTCTGCCACGACTACAACCCGCGCACCCAGCGCATGGAGCAGATTGTGATCTATGAGTTCATGGATAATGGCGACCTGTCCCAGTGGACCAAACCAGGTATGAGTGAACGGGGGGAGGGGAGGGAGTAAGTACAACCCGCGCACCCAGCGCGTGGAGAAAATTGTGACGTACGAGTTGATGGAGAATGGTGACCTGTCTCAGTGGACCAAAGCAGGTGAAGAATGAGATCATAGATAGAGGGTGGCTGTGACTGTCTTTTCACCATGCTTGAATGTGTGAAGAATATAACATTGTACCCCGCCGTCCTTGCAACATCACCAAGGGCCAAGAAAGCACCTGACAACCATTCAGCTGCTGGACACGCTGCTGTTGGTGCCACAGGGGCTGGCGTACCTGCAAGGCTGTGGCATCTGCCTTCAAGAATGCTCGTCTCACCCTGCTTTACCCTGCTCGTGTCCATTCCCCCACCACCACCAGGCGGCAAGCACTTGACAGCAGTCCAGCTCCTTGACACACTGCTGTCAGTGCCACAGGGGCTGGCGTACCTGCATGTCTCTCGCACCTCTCCTCAAAGCTGCTCAATTCACCCTCCTTTCTCCCTGCTCGTTCCCCTTCCTCCTCCCCAAACCCACTAGGCGGCAAGCACCTGACAGCGGTTCAGCTGCTGGACACGCTGCTGTCGGTGGCACAGGGGCTGGCGTACCTGCATGGATTCGACATCGTGCATCGAGACATCAAGCCGGGGAACATCCTGCTGGATAAGAGCATGCAGGTGGGAGGTGGGGTGTGCTGACCCTGAGGGCGCCTCGAAATTCGTCTTAAATGCAGCATGCACGTGGGAGCTGTCCTGTGCTGGCAGCAGCATGCACGTGGGAGCTGTCCTGTGCTGGCAGCATACACGTGGGTTCTTTGTTTCCAGAATGTCTCAAGTAGTGCTCTTGCCTAATCGGAATACAATATTGCTGGTGAAGAGCCGAGTTTTGAGACGTCTCAAAACCACGTGATAAAAGCTGAGTTTGAGACGTCTCAGAACTAATCGGAATACAATATTGCTGGTGAAGAACCGTATGTGCAGCGAAATCAGGTCATCATAACTTCTCCCAGTTGTCTGATTCACCTTGCATCTGCCAAACTCTTCAGGCGAAGCTGTCAGACTTTGGAGTGCTGCTGCTAAGGATGAGTGAGAGAGAAGCACGGTCAAGTCAATGCAAGTCAACAGGAGGCCATGAAGGTCAACGCCTCCCACATGTCCATGTCATACACTTCCTTGTCATGGCAGGCGAATCTGTCAGACTTTGGGCTGTTTCTGAGGATGAGTGAAAGCAGCAAAATGAAGTCAACACAAGTCAACAGGAGGCCACAAAAGTCAACGCCTCTCACATGTCCTCCCCACCACCCTCCTCGTCATGGCAGGCGAAGCTGTCAGACTTTGGGCTGCTGCGGATGAGTGAGAGCAGCACGGTCAAGTCAACGCGGGTGATGGGCACACCAGGCTATGTGGATCCCATCTACGCTCAGACCCGCAAGGCCACCACAGCAGCCGATGTGTACAGGTACAGAGCGGTGCAGTGCAGTGCAGGTGCAGTGCAGGGTATGCATTGTGGTGCAGTGCGGTGCAAGCCGGGTATTGTCCTGTGAGAGTGCGCGTGGGAGTGATGGGCAACCGGGCTATGTGGACCCCACCTACGCTCAGACCCACAAGGCCACCACCACATCTGATGTGTACAGGTACTGGGCGGTTCAGAGCGGTTTAGTGTGGCTCAGGGCAATCCATTGCGGTGCAGGGTGGTGCACGCGGGGGATTGTCCTGCATGGGAGTGCATGGGCACTCCGGGCTTTGTAAAAATCATCCAAGTTCAGACTCGCAAAGGCACCACTACAGAGCAGAGCAGACAATGTGTGCATGGCCCCCTGCCAAACCCCCCCTGCCAAACCCCCCCTGCCAAACCCCCCCTGCCAAACCCCCCCTGCCAAACCCCCCCTGCCAAACCCCCCCTGCCAAACCCTTGCTGCCAAACCCCCCCTGCCAAACCCTTGCTGCCAAACCCTTGCTGCCAAACCCTTGCTGCCAAACCCTTGCTGCCAAACCCTTGCTGCCAAACCCTTGCTGCCAAACCCTTGCTGCCAAACCCTTGCTGCCAAACCCTTGCTGCCAAACCCTTGCTGCCAAACCCTTGCTGCCAAACCCTTGCTGCCAAACCCTTGCTGCCAAACCCTTGCTGCCAAACCCTTGCTGCCAAACCCTTGCTGCCAAACCCTTGCTGCCAAACCCTTGCTGCCAAACCCTTGCTGCCAAACCCTTGCTGCCAAACCCTTGCTTCCATGCCCTTGCTTCCATGCCCTTGCTTCCATGCCCTTGCTTCCATGCCCTTGCTTCCATGCCCTTGCTTCCATGCCCTTGCTTCCATGCCCTTGCTTCCATGCCCTTGCTTCCATGCCCTTGCTTCCATGCCCTTGCTTCCATGCCCTTGCTTCCATGCCCTTGCTTCCATGCCCTTGCTTCCATGCCCTTGCTTCCATGCCCTTGCTTCCATGCCATTGCTTCCATGCCCTTGCTTCCATGCCCTTGCTTCCATGCCCTTGCTTCTTCCCGGCATGCAGCTTTGCCATTCTGATTCGACTTTTGAGAGCCTCGAAGTTTGCCTCCTCCCATGCCCCTGCCTCCTCCCATGCCCCTGCCTCCTCCCATGCCCCTGCCTCCTCCCATGCCCCTGCCTCCTCCCACACCCTTGCTTCCATGCTCTGCACGCAGCTTTGGCGTTCTGATTCTGGAGCTCTCACGAGCAAGAGGGCATTCTCTTGGGTTTTTGAGAGGTCGTACAAGTTGCCTCTGTCCACGCCCATTTCTCCTCTCCTCCCACACCCTTGCTTACATGGCATGCACGCAGCTTTGGCGTTCTGATTCTCGAGCTCCTCACGAGCAGGAGGGCCGTCTTTCCGGTCAACAACCGCCCCGTTCACCTTCGAGACTGGGTGGGTGGCCTGCTCCTTTACCACTCACGCAATAATCAATCTGTTTTGAGACCTCTCATAACAAATGTTTCAACTGCCCCATTCACCTCCGCGACTGGGTGGGTGGCCTGCTCCTTCACCACTCACGCAATAATCAATCTGTTTTGAGACCTCTCATAACAAATGTTTCAACAACTGCCCCATTCACCTCCGAGACTGGGTAGGTGGCCTGCTCCTTTACCACTCACGCAATAATCAATCTGTTTTGAGACCTCTCATAACAAATGTTTCAACAACTGCCCCGTTCACTTCCGCGACTGGGTGGGTGGCCTTGCCTCCTCTCTTACTACTCGCCTTTCTCCCTCATTTACTACTTTATTCCAGGTCACACTTTCACCTCTTTTTCTACCTCATTCTCAGCTCCTTGACTTCTTTCCTCGCCGGGCACTCTCCATGCGCTGTTCCCTGGAGACTCAATTTTCTCAATCTTCTCAATCTTCTCAATCTTCTCGATCTTCTCGAACTTCTCGATCTTCTCGATCTTCTCGATCTTCTCGATCTTCTCGATCTTCTCGATCTTCTCAATCTTCTCAATCTTCTCAATCTTCTCAATCTTCTCAATCTTCTCGATCTTCTCGATCTTCTCGATCTTCTCGATCTTCTCAATCTTCTCAATCTTCTCAATCTTCTCAATCTTCTCAATCTTCTCAATCTTCTCGATCTTCTCGATCTTCTCGATCTTCTCGATCTTCTCAATCTTCTCGATCTTCTCGATCTTCTCGATCTTCTCGATCTTCTCGATCTTCTCAACCTTCTCAACCTTCTCAACCTTCTCAATCTTCTCAATCTTCTCAATCTTCTCAATCTTCTCGATCTTCTCGATCTTCTCAATCTTCTCAATCTTCTCAATCTTCTCGATCTTCTCGATCTTCTCAATCTTCTCAATCTTCTCAATCTTCTCAACCTTCTCAATCTTCTCAACCTTCGCAACCACCTTTCCTCACGCGTTTGTACACCAGTGAACCCTTTCACGCTCAGCTCCTTCATTCTCAGTGGCTTGCATGCTTACCTCCCCAAGCACTCTCCCTCGTCTTATGCACTGCTCCACTGGGAATCAACCTTCTCCATCCCTCTGGACCATGCACAACGGCTCTGCATCCATCCATGCATCCATTCATCCAACCATCCATGCAATGCATCCATCCATCCATCCATGCAATGCATCCATCCATCCATCCATGCAATGCATCCATCCATCCATCCATCCATCCATCCATCCATCCATCCATCCATCCATCCATCCATCCATCCATCCATCCATCCATCCATCCATCCATCCATCCATCCATCCATCCATCCATCCATCCATCCATCCATCCATCCATCCATCCATCCATCCATCCATGAACCCACCCACCCATCCATCCATCCATCCATGCATCCATCCATGCATCCATCCATCCATCCATACATCCATGCATCCATCCATGCATCCATCCATCCATCCGCGCAGGTCTCCCAGCAGTTGCACCCCAATGAGCACGGTGCGAGTCAGAACGACCCCTCCACCGATATTCCCATCAATGTACGCTCCACTCCTCTGCCTCTATTGCCTCTCCTCCCTCTGCCTCTCCCTCTACCTCTCCTGCTTCTGCCTCTGCCTCTGCCTCTGCCTATGCCTATGCCTCTGCCTGCACTTCCTTTGCCCCCACTCCCTCTTTCCCTCTTGTTTCAAAAAATGATTTCAAAAAATAGCCGCTCATTTCGAGGCGCCTCAAAAGTCCTCAGAAGTTTCTCTATACGTCCAGAGCTATGCCTTTTGAAAGGTGGGCGCGCAGCTGGTCGATTTTCAGATGCCAGGCCATTGAATCTCCTGCTGCTCCTCCTCCTCCTTCACTCTTCCCCCTCATCCCCACCCCCCTCTTACTCCTGAAATTGTGCACTCACACCGACATGCACGTTCACAAGCATACCACATTCCTTCCTTGTCACTCCCACCTCCACCACACACCAGATCCCACAAGTCTTCCAATTGCTCTCAAGTGTAGGCCTGTGAAACATGATCATCCACTCTCGCTCCTTGCTTTCCACTCCTCTTTCCCTCCCTGCTTCCCACTCCTCCCTCCCTCCCTGCCGCCCATACCTCCCTCCCTGCCGCCCATCCCTCCCTCCCTGCCTCCCATCCTTCCCCCCTTGCACCTGCATCCACCACCACAGCTACGAGCAAGCACAGACCTCTTGGGAGTGGTTGATACGCGCCTGGCCATGCCTCAACGCGCAGCACTGCGCCTGCTCCACCTCGCCCTCTCCAGCACCGCTGATTCACTCGCCTCTCGTCCCTCCATGATGAAGCTTGTCTTGGAACTAGAGACGCTTAGAAACGAAGTTGCTGCCATGTAGCAATAGTCTCCGAGTTGATGTGTCTAGTGCCGTTCCAAATCCTGCCCATAGAAATAAGTCCATGTGCACTATCAAACCCATAACAGATTTTTTGTCGTAATTTTGTGGATCATGGAAGATTGTTATTACCGTATTTCCATGTTCATTTAGCCCAATCATATGTTCCCTATGCGAAAGATATCAAAGGGCTGAGTGTAGTAGTTTGAAATCTGTACAGTGTTGGGCTCACCGAGGATTCTATGCGGCAAACCGAACCAGGTTTTGGAATTCGTTGTCAGATCAAGGCCCGTCTTCCAGCTGCCGAGGCGCCGTAACCCTTGCCTTGGGGCTTCGTGGTGCGTCCCTAACCAGCCGAACTTCCGGGCCATGGCGTTGACATGGTCAGAACCAACTGGTTCGACTGGACCAAGCCACCCAACAAACTTCACAAGCCAAACCAACTAGTTGCCAGACACATCTCCTTTCTCGGATGAAATCCGTCAAACTCCGTCATCTGTCATTCCACGGCTAACGGCTAACTCACAGCTCGTTCACAGCTCACCCCGTCACCTTCCGTCTGTGCCGGGCTAGCCCGTAGCACCGCAAGCAACGTTGCATAGTCCGAGTTTTTCTGGTAACCCGTTGAGAAAGTGACGACCACCAACCATGTTTACGACCAACCATCCGAGTGCTGCGACATCGCCTTCTCGTCTGTAACGTAGGGCGCGATTCTCTCGTTTCAAATCAAGAAAGGGGTACAAAGTTCGCTGATCGCTTGTAGATTCATTTAGAAGTGTACGCCCTCAAGCTTGCTTTCTACCCATTCCACCCCATCCTTTTCTAGAATCTGCCAGTTCCCATCGGCCTCGGTGCAGGTGTCTCTGCCACAAGTAGAGCTATGTTCATGGTATGGTATGGTGTTCTATTCACGCCTGTTCGGTAACTTCTGTGTCTCTGCTGTTCGCTGCACGACCTGGACTGGAGGCGCTCCCATCACATCATGCCGTTGGCTCACTAGTCTCGGGTTTGCTCCGCGTCGGTTCAGTTCATGGCTACCCGAGTAGGATAATATAGGCTGGCTTATGTGCCGCTACGAGTTGATGATCCTTTTTCTCAGCATACTATGACGAGACGCAAGCTGCGAATTTCCCTCGTATCAAGTCTTGCTCTGTGAATAGAGCTTGAGAAAACTTTTAGGTTAACTCCGTAGGTGCGGTCCGTGGATCGCGCTGTCTCTCCATGCTCGGATGCATCTAACCGACGTAACGCCTCTCCACGCAGCCTCCTGCAGTCTCGCTCCCGCTCCCCCTCCTGCTACTGCGTCCTCGTCTGCTACTGCGTCCTCGTCTGCTGCTGCCACTGCTGCCGCTGCTGCTTCTCTTGCTGCTTCTGCTGCTGTTGCTCTTGCTGTCACAACCCCTTTTGCTGATGAGACCACTATCACGGACGTGACCTCTGCTGTCGCCTCTAGTACCATCGATACTTATCCCACGGCGCCGTCCGCTTCCACGTCAGCTCCAGTCGTATCGTGCGGCGAAGAGCCAGGGCCACTTTCCGATATCCCTCCTCGCACCGCGTCGCCTGTACCCGAGATATTTCCGCGAACCGCGTCGGCTGACGGTGACGGAACGCAACTCGCAGCTCCGTCGTCGCCCGGAGCCGTCGCCGAAGAGCCAGCGACTGCGTCGCAGATAATCCCTCGCATCTCAGCCGTTGACGGTGCCATCGGCCATCTCGCAGCGCCTTCGTCTCTCGGGCCGGCAGCCGAAGCGCCTGAACCGGTTTCTGACACGGTTCCTCGCGCCGCGACCGTAGAAGCGAGCATCACGCGTCGCACGAATCCGCCTGCTCCCGCAGCTGTGCCGGCGACTCTCGCAGCCGTTCCGTTTCCGAACACCGCTCCTCCCGCTCCGTTCGCTCCTAGCCGTTGGATCTGGCTGGCGACCCCGATCACCATTCTTCTGTCGCTCTTTCACCCCGTCCTCCTCTGCGCAGCCGCCATGTGGCAGCTGGTGCGGCGACTAATCGGCCACGTCACCAGCGCTACTGCAGGTTAGGGTTACGACTGTTCCCGCAGATCAGGTATTTCGACGGTGACTGGAAGGTCGGGTGATGTGACTGCTAGTGCAGGTTAGTGCTTGATTACTAGGGTAACATCGTGCTTGTGCCAGCTTCTGCAGGTAGTTCCGGCTTTGACCTACGATGATACTGGCGGTTATGGTCGTTTCCAAGTTCGGACTTTGGATACTGCAGTCACCCTACGTCGAGTTATCGTTCGAGCTGTTCGCGTTCCCAACGGATAGCTAGCTGACGTGTCTTCGTCAGATCCGTGGCCGTTTCTTCTGGTCGCAATGGTGCGTCACTACTTCTCGCCGGAAAATAGCGAAATGCGGGATTCGTTCGAAGGAGTAACTCCGCGGGCAGAAGGAACTCTAAGGTTTCGCGATAGCATTCTTCGGTCGTCACTATTGTCCAGAGAGTAGCGTTGCGAATGAGACGTATCAGGTGATGACCCTTGAGTCAGCTCAAAAGTCACTGGGGTATCGTCGTTCGTCAATATTGTCCAGAGATTAGCGTTGCGAAGGAGAAATACTTGCCGCCGACGTCGTTTCGGCTTCGTTTCGCGTTTTCGTTACGCGTTTCCAGTTGTTTTCACGTGTTTCCCACGACTCCTGCACGACGCCGTCAGGTGGCCCAGGCCTCTGGGCAGCGTCGGTAGCGACGACGAGAAGGGAACGCGTACGTACGTAGGTGGAACGAAAATGAAGTATCGGCCATTTTCCCCAAATATTGTACGCGTAGGTTGGGTTACCTCATTCATCCCGCTCTCGCTTCCATTTTCTTAAAGCTTCCCTTAGCCTCCCCTCGGTTCCGTCAGGTCGTCGGGGCCTCTGGACGGCGTCAAGAGCGGCGGCAAGAGGGGCGTTCCCAGGAGGAACGGTGCCGTCCGTCCAGGCTTGTGAGTCGTCTCAAAGGCCTTCCACGTTGCCTGCCCCTCGGTGTTCTCAGGTCGCCCGGGCCTCTGGACGGCGTCAGCAGCGGCGGCGAGAGGGGAGGCGCAGGGGAGCGGCGGCGCGGCGAAGCGGGTGCGGTGGGAGGAGGAGGAGGTGGCGTGCGGCACGGAGCACACGGTGGTGTATCTGCTGCTGCAGAGCGGCCGCCTCTCCCCCCGCGGGCTTGCCACGCTCGCCTGCCTCTGCCGCTCCTTCAGCCATGTAAGACGCTCTCCAGGGTTTGTGGTCCCTTTTTCCTCTATTTTGGGAGCTGGGAGTGATGGGAGTTGGGGGGATGTGAGGTAAGGAAGGCGAGGAGGGAAGGGGGAAAAGGGGAGGGATGGAACGGGGAAAGGGGAAATGGGAGGGAGGGAAAAGGGAGGTGAGGAAAAGGGTGGGTGGAACGGGTGGGGGGTTTGAGGTGAAGCGGGTGCGGTGGGAGGAGGAGGAGGTGGCGTGCGGCACGGACCACACGGTGGTGTATCTGCTCCTGCAGAGCGGCCGCCTCTCCCTGCGCGGCCTCGCCACGCGCGCATGCCTCTGCCGCTCCTTCCGCCATGTAAGGCGCTCCTCTTAGGGTTGTCTTCAGTGAGAAGGATGGGGAGGAGGAGAAGAGACGGGGGGGTGGGGGGAAGAAGGGGAGAAGGGGGAATAGCAAGAGATGGGAGAGAGGGGGAGGGGAGAGGGAGGAGGAGGAAGGGGACGTGGGGGAGGGAGAAGGTTAAGGTTACCCTGGCCTGGCATGTCTCTACCATGCCATCTGCCATCTGCCTATGAGGCACTTTCGTGGCGTTGCAAGTCGCATTTGTTTTTCCGATTTCCCTAGTTGCGCACTCAAGCATACACACACGCACGCACGCACACACGCACGCACGCACGCACGCACGCATGCATGCATGCCCACATGCACGCACGCACACTCGGTTTCATGCACGCATTGCCACATTCCTTTTTCCTTCTCACACACAAACATGCGTGCGCGCGTGCATGCACACGGTCATGCTCGTGCCTTGTGCTATGGCCTGAACGCTCATGTCTTGTTAACGCTATAGGACTGCTTTATTGGTGACTTCATGCCCTGAGCGTCCGCTTTTCGCTCCTTTTTTTTTCCCCCTTTCTGTAACATGCGTATTGATGTGCTGTGCTGTGCGTCAGTTTTTCTACTTTTCATAAATGTGTCGCGTGTCTGTTCTGTGTGTTCTTTGCTGTGTGTGTGCGTGTGTTGTGCCACATTGTGTGCTCTCTCTCTCTCTCTCCCCCTGCCAGGCGTGTGAGGACGAGATGCTGTGGCATCTGGTGTGCATCGTGCACTGGCCCAGCCTTAACGCTCCAGACCTTGAAGCCAGAATACGAGCGAGTGGTGGTTACAAGAGGTGAGAGTATGAGGGAGTGGTGGTTACAAGAGGTGAGAGTATGAGGGAGTGGTGGTTACAAGAGGTGAGAGTATGAGGGAGTGGTGGTTACAAGAGGTGAGAGTACGTGGGAGGGAGTGGTGGTTGGTTACATTACAAGGGCTGAAAAGGCGTTCACGTTTTATTTCCCACCATACCCCACCCACCTCTCTTTAAATGCCGAGTTCATGTGTATAGATAGAGCAAACCTCTCTCTCATTACACCTGTCATAATACCTTTGCATTTTCTCCTCCTGCACCGCATCCGCATGCACTCCTCCCCACCCCACCAAACCTCTCCAACCCACCAAACCTCCCAGGTTCTGCCGTTTGCTCCACACGCCCTGTGGGGAGGTCCAGTCCACCATTCCAGCAGGCCACGTGGACGAGTTCGTGTCTGACGTCATCTTCCTTGTTGACGTGTCGTACCGTGGTTCGCCCATCTTCGCGCGTCGCATTAACGGGGCGAGTGACCTGGAGCACCTGCAGCAGCCCGACTCGTTCGCCTTCAGGCTGCCAGACATAAATGTGAGTAGCATGGGCTGACTCAGTTGGAATGCAAGTCTGCTTTTGGTTGGGACTCGCATTTGTTCTTCTCGCGTCGCATCAGTGTGCCGAGCGACCTGGAGCATCTGCAGCAGCCAGAATCGTTCGTGGTCCGGCTGCCAGACATGGATGGGAGTGGAACTTCAGAGCAGGTTGTCAGGGCTATGGAGCAGTTGTGTTGAGCCATGTGATCGATCTTCCCTTGGGTGGGGTGCATCAGTGTGCGCAACCCAACTACCTGAAGCACCTGCAGCAGCCGGAATCATTCGCCTTCAGGCTGCCAAACGTGGATGTGGGTGAAATAGCACAGCTGGTTTTGGGGATACGGAGCAGTTGAGTTGAGCGGATTGATTGATTGTTTTCCTTTTCTCGCATCAACCGTGCGAACGGCCGACCTGGAGCATGTGCTCTGCACTGCAGCAGTCAGAGTCGTGCGTCTTCAGGCTGCCAGACGTGGATGTGATGTGAGTAGGCCTCATTTAGTTTAGACTCCAGCCCTTGGGTCCCATCCCATCCCATGAGCGGGCCAGTGACCCGGAGCACCTGCAGCAGCCCGAGCCATTCGTTGTCAGGCTGGATGTGATGTGAGTTGGCTGAGCTGCCATGCCAGGCCTGCTCCCTTCCCCCCTTCCAAGCACACCATGCAGGTGGGCGCAGTGCTGGTGGACGGCAAGCCAGGGCCGGGCCGAGCACACTCGTGAGTGGTCTTAAGGGGCCCTTTCCTATTCTCTTTTCCCACATCCAATCCAAACGACTTTTGATTTGCAGGTGGGCGCAGTGCTGGTGGACGGCAAGCCTGGGCTGAGCAGGCGGGCGTTGGAGCGCGCAGCCAGGGAGCTGCAGGTGTCGTGTCTGGCGCTCAGGGGGCGCGACGACTGCTTTGCTGTGCTGCTCAACGCTGCCACCTCACAGAACAGCATCATTGGCGGGTAGGGTTCGTGCTTCCCTCCCCTCCAAGTGACTTTTGAGTTGAGTGACTCAAAAGTCAGATGCAGGTGTTGTGTGTGGTGCTGAAGGGTCCATTGGCGGGTGGTGACCGCTTTGCTGTGCTGCTCAGCGCTGCCACCTCACATAACAGCATCATTGGCGGGTAGGATACTTGCTTTCTTCCTCCTGCCCCGCTCTTGTTTTGAGTCGTGCCTTTACTGTGCCTTGCTGTGCTTTGCTGTGCTGCTCCACGCTGCCACCGCACAGAGCAGCATCGTTGGCGGGTAGGGTGCTGCCTCGTTCCCCTTCGGATGCCTTCCATTTACTCAATAAGAAGCTTCAGATGTCGTGTTTGGCGCTTCAGGGTCGCAACGACAGCTTTTCTGTGCTTTGCTGTGTTGCTCAGCGCTGCCACTGCACAGCACAGCACAGCACAGCACAGCACCATTGGCGGGTAGGGTGCTTGTTTCCCCACTCTTGCTTATCACCGTGTCTCGGGCGTGCATGCCACCTCTCAGCTCGCAAAGATCGCTTTGCTATGCTGCTGAATGCGACCACTGCAGAGCAAAGCACCATTGGCGGGTAGAGTACTGCTTGCTTCCGCCCCTCCCTTGCTCTGATTGAAGTGATCACGGGTGCGGCGGATTCGACTTGAGTGTGGAAATGCCGGGAGGTGACATTTTGAAGGGCGGTCACCACAGGAGGGGCATGTCCGCAGTCGAAGAAGCCAGAGTTGGGCCTGCGGAGAATGAACCGGCGATCCTGACTCCATCCACGTGAACCGGGAGGATTTCCGTGTTTGCCCTCAATACAGCTTCCGCGCGCAGGTGGTAACACCTTCCTACTCTGCTCTATCCTAAAAATGGCGAAGCTCACGCCGATCAGGACGAAGAAGGGTGACTCGGAGAATCTTCCGTGGCTGGTGGATCCCAGCAGATTTCACTGCCCAGTCGTTCACCGAGGGGGGCACACCTCTCCTTTGGGATAGCCCTGAACGCCCGTTTGATGATTCCTACCGCACCCGGGTACTGCTTGGGGGGGGGGGCAACGTGCTTCACTGCTTTACTGATTCTCGTAGCCGCCGCACCGAGCGAGATGATAATTGGTTGAGCGACCTGCTTCACTTCCACAAGCTGTACGACCCTTATGAGGAATCGTTTTTGCCGCGGATCTTTGGCGTTCCTGTCGCCCCTGACGCTGATTTGCTCTTCGAATTAATTTCGGCGGTGATCTAGCTTCCACATGTCCAGGAGCCTGTGCTGATCAACATTTTCACCCATTCGTGCGTCTTCCATCTCAGTAACCACCGCACTCGTGATCACAGCTGTCTCGCCACTGTCAGGAGGAACAGTCTCACCAATCCTTTCACTACCACTGTCAGGCAACTCCAGCTGTGATCATGGGTGCGGTGATTACTGGGACAGACGACGCACGAATGGGTGGAGATTTTGATCAGCAAAGGCTTCTGGACATCCGGAAGCCAAATCACCGCCGGGATTGCTTTGAAGAGCGGATCAACGTCAGGGGCGACAGGAACGCCAAGCATCTGCAGCAAGAACAATTTACGGGTCCTACAGCTTGTGGAAGTGAAACAGCTCGCCCAGCCACTTCTTGTTTTCTGTTCGTCATCTCTGCTTCTCATCTCTTTTCATCTCCAACTACTCTTCTCCCCTTCTTTTCTCCCCTTCTCATCCCCCCCTCCATTTTCCACTTCCAATACCACAACCTCCTCCTTCCCTAAGCTCGAGTCCCCTCCCTCGTTTCCAGCGCCTTCCAGTTCTCCCCTTCCCAATAACCCCCACCTACCCCCCGTCGCATCCCCGTCTCCCATGTCTTCCTCTGCAGCACTGTGTACACCACCTTCCATTCCAGCGCCACTTCGCCTTGCCAGGAGCCCTCGCTCACACCAACCATCTCTCCCACTTATCTTTTCCATTCCAAATCCCCCTTCTCATCCTTCTCTCTGCAGCACTGTGTACGCCACCTTCCAGCATCACTACAGCCTGCCAGGAGCCCGCGCGCTCGCGCACACAAACGTGGCAGTCGACTGTATTGTCACCGTCACCTCTCGCCCTCACTGTCTCTCTCTTCCTCTCATGTCTCCTCCAATTTCCCCCACCTAATTTCCCCGTCCAATCTCTCCGTTCCGCTCCCTCTCACCATGTCTTGGCAGCACTGTATACGCCACGTTTCAGCCCCACTTCGCCCTGCCAGGCACCCTCGCGCACACCAACGTGGTTGTGGACCTTTCCCACTGACACTCTATCCCCCTTTGACTCTCTATCTCCATGTCTCATGTCCCTCTCAGGACGGTATATGCCACTTTTCAACGCCACTTCGCCCTTCCAGGCACCCTCACGCACACCAACCTGTCTGTCGACTGCATCGTCACCGTCACCTCCCGCGCTCGCTACGTCGACCCCGCCGCCCAACCGGATGGCGCTGCTGCCCAACCGGATGGTGCCGCCGCCCAAGCAGGGGGTGCAGGAGCAGCAGGGGCGGCAGCAGGGGAAGCGGCAGGGGCAGGAGCAGGGGCAGCAGCAGGAGAAACAGCAGGGGCAGAAGCAGCAGCAGCAGCAGCAGCGGCGGCGGCGGCACCGGCACCACCAGGTGCTGCTGCGGGTCTTGCTGCGGCTGCTGTTGCTGCACAGAGAGAGCAGAGAGCAGCACTGGCAGCTGTTATGCTAGCAGCGACGGCCCAAGAAGCAGTCGCAGCAGCAGCAGCACAGGGAGCAGCTGTTGCAGCACAAGAAGCAGGTGCTGCAGTGGCACCAGCTGTAGGCGAGGCGGCTGTGGAAACAGCAGCAGTGGCAGACGGCACAGCAGTAGTAGCAGTGCCTGCAGATGCTGGCTTGCAACAAGAAGCAGGGACAGGAGAGGCACCAGGGGCAGTGGGAGCAGCAGGGGAGGTAGTGGAGGTAGGTGCTGGGCCTATGGAGCTGGGGCAGGGAGTGGCAGAGAGAGAAATCGGATTTGAACAAACCCAACCAGCTGTACCTAATGCTGCTGGTACAGGTGCTGCCGATGCTGCCGCTGCTGCGGGTGCTGATGGTGCTGCCAATGCTGCCGCTGCTGCGGGTGCTTACGGTGCTCCGGGTGCTTACGGTGCTCCGGGTGCTAACGGTGCTCCTGGTGCTTACGGTGCTGCGGGTCCTGTGGCTGCTGCTGGTATTGCTGCTGCTGCGGATGCTGCAGCAGGAAGTTTCCTCCCTGTCGGTCCCACGCAGGAGCAATGGGGCCCACAAGGCCATGCAGAGGTGGTGGAGGAGACGAGGCGCATGGTTCTGGCGTACCGAGCCGTGACCTCCGGCCAAGCCGCTGCGCCAGGTGCGGGTGAGCTGCGTTTCGGGCCTGATTTTGCGGGTGCCGCCATTGCTGGTACTGCTGGCACTGCTGCTGGCACTGCCGCCGCTGCTGCTGCTGGTGCTGGTGCTGTGGCTCCAGAAGGAGCGGCAGGAGGGGGTGTGGTGGAGCAGTGGCAGTGGCAGAGGCAGGCAATTGGTGTTGCAGGGATAAGGGATGGGCAGATTAATGGATTCCAGGAAGGGGGGGGTGGTGTAGGGCAGATGAATGTGTTCCAGGCAGGGGGGGGTGGTGTAGTGGCAGGAGCAGGAGCAGCTGCTGGTGGTGTTGCTGATGCTGGTGCTGCTGGTGCTGCTGGTGCTGCTGGTGCTGCTGGTGCTGCTGCTGCTGCTGCTGCTGCTGCTGCTGCTGCTGCTGCTGCTGCTGCTGGTGCTGCTGGTGGCGCTGGTGATGGTCTTGCCGCTGCTGTTGCTACTGCAGCTGCTGCAACAGCGCCAGCAATAGCAGGTGCAGGCATAGCAGCAGGAGCAGCACTGGCAGCAGCAGCAGCAGCAGGAGCAGCACTGGCAGCAGCAGCAGCAGGGCCAGGGCATGTGCATGGGCATGCACACGGGCATGCTCATGCCCATGCTCATGGACAGGCGCATGGGCATGGGCATGGGCACGGGCACGGGCACACGCATGCACATGTGCATGTGCATGGGGATACAGTGTTGGATGTGGTATTGGGGCAGCTGGGGTTTCAGATCAAGGTGGAATGCGGGCAAGGGGAGGCGAGGCAGACAAAGCCGAGTGTGGGCGAGTGGCACGACCTCAAATGGAAGTGAGCGGTGCAGCAGAGTGGGGCCACCAGAGTGGGGCCACCAGAGTGTGGGCTGCAGGCGCGGGGAGGCAGCAGGTTTTTTTTTAGGCCCCGAAAGAAAAGGGGCAGACAAAACCTATAGTGGGCGACTGGCACCAATCTCAAAGGAAGTGAAGGATGCAGCATTGTGTGTGGTGCAGGCACAGCGAGGCGGCAGGCTGATTTTCTGGCACTTCAAAAAGTGCAGGTGAAGCCAAGTTGGGTTACTAACATGGCCTTGATTGGAAGTGAAGGGAGCAGCAGAGAGTGGGCTCTGGGCAGCAGGCACAGCACATGGAGGCTGTGAAGATGCAGCAGGGGCTAAGGGGCTGCAGTAGAGATGCAGCTGCGTTCAGGGGTGAAGTGTGAAGTGAAGGGTGGGGCATAGTGCGAGGAAAGGCTGCACATTATATGAAGCTATTTCAGGGTTTGGTCAAGTGTTGAGTTTCAGGTCTGGGCAGATATGTTTTGGGAGAGCTGCGCATAGAATGGGCTGCTCTCAAGCCCTGCTGCTCTCGGGCCCTGACGAGGCACGAGGGACCTTCAGCCATCAGGCTTTGCTGCATGTTTTTCTGGTGTTTGTACACATTAAAATACCTTGGTCGTTGTTAGGAATGCAAATCCTCGTGTGGGTGAGTGTAGACACTTCATATAGTTGCAGCCTGCAGCCGACAAACGAAGGGCTGTCATCTGCTTGAGGGCTGAGTATATGACGTGTACATCCTTGCTTCAGTTCAGCTTTACTTCAGTTTTCATGCAAAGGTGTTTTTCTTATGTTGTATCGGTGGTAGTTGCCAACTTGTGCCAGCTACCATATCTGAAATTCACAATATGTTACCCTTCCCTTATGAGCACATTTTTGTTTCTCGTCTGCATCGCAAAATTATTACGGTATCCACACGCAGAGCAAAAACACGGTACCGTCAGCCCCCGGATAGAAGCGCCCCTGGGGTTATAAAAAAACACGTTTTTTTAGGGGGTGCGCTTATAATTGAGGATTTTTATAAGCGCCGGTGCTTATATAATAGCATATATGAAATTCGTCGTTTTTCCACCAAACTGTAGATCCCGTTCTTGCGAATTGAATCGAGTCGAAACTATACAGGGTTCGATTGAGAATCTCGCATGCAAGTTGGCAGGGATTGATTCCCTGCCAACACACACAGTCAGAATGTGAAACTATACTATACAAGGCTGTTATTGAGAATCTCGCGTGCAAGTTGGCAATGATTGATTCCCTGCCAACACACACAGTCAGAATGAGTCAACGTGCGCCTTTGACAGCTCATTCTGACTGGACGCGTTGCCAGTGAGCCGGGCGAGGGTGAGGGGGCATCGAAATTCAAAATGTGGGAATGAAAATGTTGAGTTTCGTTACAACGATTTCAGTAAAATTATAATAAAAAAGAAGAGGGTGGCGCTTATAATCCGTAAGCCTTCAGGGGTGTGCTTATAATCGAGGACCGGATATAAGCGCCCTCATCCTTTTATAAGCGCCGGCGCTTATCCGAGGCCTGCACTTCTATCCGAGGGCTTACGGTAGCATTCCTATACCTAGGGTGCTTGATAATCCGTCAAAATATTTGAAGATTGCGTACTTTCCTCCAACCAAATACTGTATGATGCGCTGTGGCCCACTCGAGCACAGTACCCCGTTCTCACACCTGCATCGCCCCTCCTCTAATCGCAGTTGGAGCAGCACTTCTTGGCTTTTCTCTTGCACTTTTTGTATGTGTGCGTGCACTTGTGGTGCTTGTGCTCGTCGTCCATGTTCTCGCGCTTGCACTCGCTGTACGACTCGTTGCACTCCTTGTTTCTTCGCCTCGCAGTCCGACTTGCACGACAGCCGGCGACGCATTTCAGGGGACCACAGAAACTGTAACGTATTACCCTAACTACCGAGCTAACAACCATCGATCTCTCTCTAAGTCAATTGTTGAGAACTTCTCTCAACAAAGGAAGAGTTGGAGAAGATGGTTGAGTTGGTTGGGATGAAACTTGGTTTGGGTTTGCCAAGCCTCAACTTTGGAGGTTTGGAACATTTCCAACTCAACCAAGAGAATGTTGAAGGTTGGAGTTCCAACCAATCAGAAACTGCCAAACAAGTGTTACAATCTACTATATCCTAAACACAACCATTGAATGGTTCTAAGTTGGGTTTTCCAACCCAACACAATTGTCACATAGGCTCCAAGCCTAGGAACCATCCCACCATGGAAACCATGGTTGGGATAGTTCCCCAAGGGGTGTATTGAGGGAGTCTGAGCTAAGCAAGCTCATTCTCAACCTCCCAGTCCAACTAAACAATTGAAAATGAGATTGTTTCTCTAAGTCATTTTGGGCTCTCTCACAAGCCTTCCTACACAATTCTCTCAAGCTATTTCAACAACTCCTTCAAGAAGATTGGCACCTCAAAAGCTATTGGGAGCTAGTTAGAGCTTCATCTTGTATTGGGATTTATTATAAAAGCCTTGTAACTCCATTATAATAGCCTTGGGTGTTACATTGGTATCTAGAGCAAGGTTCTTCCTTGGCCTTGTGTGGCCATTTGCTACTTGGATTTTTTTTTTTTAGAGGATCCTAGCTTGTGGATCTCGAGTTTTATCCAAGGAGCAGTGAAGATTTTGAAGAAATTTCAAGATCCACAAGTGTTTCTTGAAGATTTACAAAAGCTTCTTCAAAGATCTACAAACTCCAAGCTACAACTACTTCAACTTTTCATTGGAGTGCAAGATCTACAAGGAGCTTCTTCTTCTTCATCAACATAGAGAAGAAATTTGAAGAGATTAATTTCTCTTACCCACCTTTGGTGGAAGACTCTTGATCTACCTTGGGTAGAAGAGTGTACCTTCAGATCTATAAGGACTTGTTGAAGATTACTCTATTGAGTATATCTTGCTCTATCACTGAGGTGATAGAGAGATTTCGCAAACAAGTCTATCTTAAGAGATTCTGTATTTGATTATTCTATAAGAGTGATCAGATTTCTTAAAGATTGTTAAAAGATCTGTTGAGATCTCATCTCCTTAACCTATTTCATGGCTTCTGGTCAAGAGATGGATGCTACTAAGGAGGTGCCTATTGTTGGCAATGAAGGAGATAATGCTGCTCCTGCTGCTGACATTGATCTCAACCTTGAGGACTTCGTGGTTGACATGGAGATCAATGGAAGTGAAGCTGACCTTGAGGCTGATGCTGACAATGAGGATGAGACTGGCTCTGCTGAGGGTGTCTCTAATGAGACCGAGGACATCGCTGTTAAACTTCAGACTCAAATCACGGAGCAGAACATTCTCATTGGAGAGCAGCACTGCCGCATCCAGAACTTGGAGGCTGATTCCGTTAAGCTTCAGGCCTTGATTGAGAAGCTGACCAGGGAGGTGCAGTCGATTCCTAAGGGAAATGACACCTCCAGCTTCATCCAGGACCTGCAGACCACTCTCCAGTTTGTGCAAGACCAGCTCAAGAAGCAAGAGAAACACATCTCTGTGCTTCAGACTCAGTACAGGGAGATCCGGCGTGGAAACCTCTACCAGCTTGCTCCTGCAGCAGAGCGAGTTGCCAACGCCGCTAACAGCCGTGCTGCACCTGCTTATGCACCTCCTGCTGTTCCTCCTCCTACTAGAGCACGTGCCGAGCCTCCTACTGCAGCAGCAACTGCTTTTGGCTCCTGCCCTTCGGCCCTGCCTCGTTTTGTCCATGGCAAAATTGACGTTGAGACTTGGCTCTCCATTGTGGAGGACTTCATGTCCATCCACAATGTGCGTAGCGAGGCTCGCGTGGTCGCTGCGACCCTTGCCCTAGACGACACTGCGAGCAAGTTGGTGTATGCCAACAAGCGCCACGCAGAGGCTAATGGCCATCCTTTTGGCTGGGAGGAGTTCAAAGCTGCCATGCTGGCGGCATTCCTGAGTCAGCCCCCGGCGCTCGAGGTGCGTAGCCGCCTGGAGAACATCCAGTGCGGTGACCAGCCTGTACGCGAGTACGCCAAGGAGTTTGAGAAAACTCTGTCGCTGCTGAAGACTGCTCTTCCTAAGAGTGAGGTCATCCACCAGTTCTTCAAGGGACTCCCTGAGCACATCAAGCGTGTGCATGTTGTGCGTGGGGAGCACCAGTGGAGGACCTACAAGGAGTGCAAGGAGCAGGTCATTGACACGGATGTGAATTTCCGTGCGTACATGACTCACGCTCGTGCTCAGCAGCAGCCTAGTGCCGAAGGCCCTAGGGGGGGTGGTAACAGGACTCAGGCACACAGGGGCAGTGGCTCTTGGAAGAGGCCCTATCAGCAGAAGGGGGAATCCTCTGGGACTCAGTCCAAGAGGGCCCATGCTGTGCCTGCCAAGGATCCTCAGGATGAGGATAAGCCCCCGGCGGGCTGCCGCATCTGTGGCAAGCTCGGGCACAAGTCCTATCACTGCCGTTGGAGGAAGTCCGTCAAGAACTCTAGCAAGCCCAACCAGGGCAAGAAGCCGGATGGTTCTGGCCCTCCAGGCCCGAAGGATTTTCCGAAGTCCAACTAGGGGGTGGGTACCTAGTTGGTGAGCGAGATCGAGTAGATGAGGCTTATGTCCTTCGTGATGAGGATTTGCTAAAGCTAGAGAAGCTCGCATCATGCAAAATCGCTTGTTTGTATGCCTCTTCTATTAATGAAAAATCTGTTTTTAAAACTCGATCATACCCACTTGAAAACATCTCAATTGAATCCTTGAGAGATAAATTTTCAATGATCTCTTGCTCGTTCAACGAGTTGCCAGGAATCATGGATATTGTGGACCGTTGTGTCCAAGAGCATCCGCTCATGTTAGTGGGATTGGTGACTCGAATCGTGAAAGGAGAGTTATTCCGCCGCTTTCACGAATGGCATATCATGGCAATATGGGACAAAGGACACCACGTCTGGTGGACCAGCTCCCAAAGGTTTGGACGTGCTCACAACAAATTTAGGGTGTACTATCGACCTCCTAAACTTGTTGTCGCTTGTCCCAT